TTGTATCATTGTTATTTTAGTTCCCATTATTTGGGTAACCATATTTTTGTTCCTTTCAATTTTCATGGTCCTACTGAATTTTGCATATGTAAATGACACAATTAAATGTGTTTTGGTAGAAACCATAATTTAAACAGTTTTAACAAGGTCTTTAGCTTTATATATGGGAAATGTTTTTGACATTAATGAGTGGGATCATCAAAATGGTTACTCGGGAGAGCTGCAAGCCATCCTTTCTACTGTTCCTCTATTTTCAATTCACTGTAGTATTTGAAATCAGGGTAAACAAACTTGCCTCAGAGTCCTGCCTTACCATTTATAAAGTGTAGAATCATAGGCATGACCCCAATTTTCAGATTTCTTACTATAAAATCAAGGTAGCGATATGCAATTAATAACTTTGTTATAAAAATTAAATGAGAAAATATTTGTACGGTACTTAGATTAGTGCTTGGTACACAGTGAACACACATACAAATATATAAAAAGTAGTATTGCTCCTCAGCTGAGGAGCAATACTACTTCTTCGGAAATAACAGAAAGCTATTGAAAGCATAGTCTTTTTCTAAAAGAAATTAGGACAGAGTTATTGAGTACAGGCTGAGAAGAAACTTGTTCTCTTCTCCTATTTATGTAGTTTTCTTGAGAATCCATGTGAAAATGAATTGTGTGTTACTTGTTAGATAGTAACTGTTTATACAGAACGGTGACTGAATGATGACACTGACTAAAACAAAGAAGAGTTTCCCACGTCATCATGTATTGTGTTGGCTTTAGTGTTGTCTAAAGAGAGTGTTTTCCCTTTCATTCATTTGAATGAAGTTTTAGATTATGTGTCTGTCGGGTACTTTACAGTTTCCTCATTTCCTGGAAGTGTGCTGGCATGTCATTTTGTTCTTCATAGTTTTAACTAGCATTGTTTTCACCTGTGTGAAAAAGTATGCTTCTGTTACTAATGTTAGTTTTGGCTCATATAAATAATTATAATGTTCTCTGCCCATTATGCTGCCTTTTCTGCAGTAATATAATCCACTTCATTGTTGGATTTTTTTATTTTAGTCTTTAAGTGGTCTGATGAGGTTTAGTCAGAACAGATCCAACCTCAAATTCTCTAGGACCAGATTTTAGTCCTGATTCTTTTGTCAGTTACTTACGATGTATACCCAGGGAGGTACTTAATCTTGCTGTTTTAATTTATTTTTCCCAATGTAATAATTTTTATTAATTACTTGGGAATTTTGTACAGTACACCTCAATCACATTAACTTCTCATTGCTCCCAGGTCCACCATCCCATCCTAGAACCCCTTCCCTCTTCAAAATTAAAGGATCAAATCCCATTCCACATAGAGGGATACTCTCTCAGTCTAGATACATGGGGGAGGGCCTAGGCCCTGCTCCAAATGATATGACAGGCTTTGTAGACTCCCTGTGGAAGACCTCACCTTCCCTGGGAAGCAGAAAGGGGTTGGGATAGAGGTTGGTGGGCAGTGCAGGGGAGGATGGGATTGACATGCAAAACAACCTTGTTTCAAAGTTAAAAAAAAGATCAAATCCAATTTGTATTGCCCATATACTCATTGGGTCATGGTGAATGTTTATAACTGATACATCCATAGTCCCTTTGACGTTATTTGACACCTCCCTATATACTCTTTATCCTCACCAATACTATATAATTTCCAGAAGGGATATTCTGTGTGCAGGCTCTTTGCATTTTTCATTTGTGTTACATTCACCCTTTCACTGTCTGACTTCGATTTTCATTGTTTTAATACACAATTGGCTAATATCCCCGATTATCACCAAATTGTCAAATTCAGAATAGTTTTATTCCTTCTGTGAGTGAGATGTTGTGTTGGATTTAATACTTGTCTGTCCTAACTACTTTGCTATTTGTTCCTCTCTGAACTATTTTGTTCCCATTCTTAGATGCAGTTTTCTGTTATAACACTGCTTTCAAAGTGTCCCATAAGTTCGGGTATGCTGTGTCCTAATTCTCGTTGAATTTTAGAAAGTCCTTAATTTCTTTCTTTATTTCTTCTGTGACCCAGGTGTGGTGCAATTCCACACTGTTCAGTTTCCATGAGTTTGTAGGTTTTCTGCGATTTGTTTTGTTGTTGAATTCCAATTTTAAAGCATGGTAGTCTGATAAGATACAGGGGACTATTCCAATTCTCTTGTATCTGTTGAGGTTTGTTATGCCACCTAATATGTGGTTGATTTTAGAAAAGGTTCCATGTGGAGCAGAGGAGAATGTATATTCTTTTGTCTTTGGATGGAATGTTCTATAGATGTCTGTTAACCCCAGTTGAGACATAACTTCTGTTCTTTTGTTTCTTTGTTGAGTTTTTGATAGGTGGTCCTGTCTAGTGGTTAGAGTCGTGTGTTAAAGACTCCCACTATAAATGTGTGAGGTTTTATGTGAGCTTTGAGTTTTAGTAGCATTTGTTTTACCAATGTAGGTGCCTTTGTATTTGGGGCATAGATGTCCAGAATTGAGACTTTGTGTTGATGGATTTCTCCTGTGATTAATACAAAATGACTGTCTTCTTATCTTTTGATTAATTTTGGTTTCAAGTCTAACATGTTAGATATTAGGATAGCCACACCTGCTTGCTTCTTGGTTCCATTTGATTGGAAAATCTTTTACCAACCCTTTACTCTGAGGTAATGTCTATCTTTGAAGCTTAGATGTATTTCTTGTATGCAGCAGAAGAATAGATTCTGTCTTCGTATCCATTCTGTTAGGTAAGTTAAGACCATTAATGTTGAGGGTGAGTAAAGACCATCGATTGTTGATTCTTGTTTGTTTTAGATTTGTTGTTGGCAGTGATATTGTGAATATATTTATCCTGCTTTACCCTTGGTTTCTGATGTAGTAAGATTATCTGTTGCCTCCGTCTTTGTGGACATAGTTAACTTCCTTGGGTTAGAGTTTTCCTTCCAAACTTTCTGTAGGTGTAGGTCTGGATTTGTAGATACGTATTGGGAAAATCTGGTTTTGTCATTAAATATCTTGTTTTCTCCATCTATAGTGATTGAGAGTTTTGCTGGGTATAGTAACCAGGGCTGGCATCCATGGATTCTTAGTACTTGAAGAACATCTATCCAGGACCTTCTGGCCTTGAGGGTTTCCATGGAGAAGTCAGGTGTAATTTTGATTGCTGTGCCTTTATATGTTACCAGTCCATTTCCTTCGCTGCTCTTAATATTCTTTCTTTATTCTGTATGTTAGTTGTTAGTTGTCGAGGGGTCGTTTTTCTTTGGTCCAGCCTATTTGGTGTTCGGTATGATTCTTGACTTTTCATGGACATATCCTTCTTCAGATTGGGAAAGTTTTCCTCGATGATTTTGTTGAATGTGTTTTTGGCACCTATGAGCTGGGCTTCCTCACCTTCCTCTATGCCTATTATTCTTAGGTTTGTCCTACATTTCGTGGATGTTTTGTGTTAAGGATTTGTTGGATTTACGATTTTCTTTCATTGATGAATTTCTTTCCTCTAGTTTTTCTTCCGCGCCTGAGATTCTCTCTTCCATCTCTTGAATTCTGTTGGTTATGTTTGTCTCTGTAGTTCCTGATCGTTTGCCCAGTTTTTCTATTTCCAGCATTATTTTGGTTTGTGTTATCTTCATTTTCTCTATTTCAGTTTTCAAGTCTTGAACCATTTCCTTCACCTGCTTTTTTTTTTTTTTTTTCTTATTTTTTCCCCCCCTTTTGGCTCTCTCTGTACTTTCCTTACTCTCCTTAAGAAATTTGTTCATTTTTTTTGTTTGTTTGTTTTCTTCCATTTATTTAAGGTATTTTCTCACAACTTCTTTGAGAGCCTCTATCATTTTTATGTCGATAATTTTTAAGTCATTCCTTTCTGCTTCATATGCTTTGTTGTGTTCTGTTCTAGTTGGTGTAGATTCCCTAGATTCTGGTGGTGTCATGCTTGTCTTTCTGTTGTTAGGTGTTTTCTTGTATTGCCGTCTTCCTGTAGGTTCTTGCGGTGGGTGTTGGTGGGGACTCTCCCTCTCTCAATGGTACTTCCCTGGTGGGTTTTAGCGGGTCAGAGGTTCGATGTCTGTAGCTCTGGGTTGTCCAAGCTCTCTAGGAGGTCTCTCCACAGCCAGGGGCCCAGCAATGGGGGTCAGCAATCAGGCTCCAGCAGAAGACTCTAGCCAAGGCCTGGCGATGGGGGACAAAGGTTGGGCTGATACTCAGGATGTTGTTGTACCAATAGGTACAACAATCTAGCTGGGACCTGGCACTCTCCAGCTGAGGCCTGTTTAGCAGAGGCCCTGCCATGGGGGTGAAGGATCCTGTAGGCAGGAACTCAGAGTTGAAAAAAAAACGTTTTTAAGAGAATAAAATCTAATATGAGTATATACTATGAACTTGAATTAATTCCAAATGATAAGAGATTAGGGAATTCATTTTAGCTTAAGGAAAAGACAGGTGCTTCGATCTAAAAAGGATGACAGAGAATTCAGCAGGAAGGAATTCAAAGTTTTTCTTAAATTCATCTTTAAGATAACAGTTTTAAATATGAAATAATAGAAAGTTATTGAAGCAAACTATTTAGGTTTAAAATTATTGAAGTAGAGTACAGAAAAACAGATTCATTAGGCGTATGTAGAAAGAATGAGGCCCTTCCTTCTGAAATGGTGTTAAAGGAAAAGAAACAATATAGTACATATAACTGTCGAACTAGGGGAACCTGTTTATATTCATTATTCTGAGTATTTTTCTGAAATTTGAGCTTAGAGAAGTAAGTTTTTCTGTGATTACCTGGGAAAGTTTGAGTAGGAATAGAAATCTAATAATGAAGAATGTAATTATTTTTTTTCTGCAGATCACATATAGATTGAGAAGAAATGGATGATTTGAGTAATCCAATTTCAAAATGGATTTAAGCTGTGACATGGTGGGAGTTACTGCTTTTCACCTGCTCATCAATTGTTTTATTTCAACAGTTTCTTTTCTATTTTGTTCTTTTTAATTTAATTTTGTAGGTCTTGATGACTGTTTGCAGCAGTATATTAAGAACTTTGAGAGGGAGAAGATCAGTGGAGATCAGCTGCTACGCATCACACATCAAGAACTGGAAGATCTGGGAGTCAGCCGTATTGGCCATCAGGAGCTTATCTTAGAGGCAGTTGACCTTCTGTGTGCACTGGTAAGGATTGAAACCAGTTGAAAAGAAAACCGTTAATGCCTATTTTCCACTCTCCGTTAATTTGACTCTCTCTCTCTCTCTCTCTCTCTCTCTCTCATTATAATCTATATATGGGTGGGGAAAATTCTCACTTTTAAGTATAGTATTTCTATACTGAGTATAGTATGTATATTCTTATGTAAATATGATTCATTAGTAAAAAATAACAAAGAAGTTTAACCTTAACTAAGGTTTCATCAACTTAAAATTAATTTGGAGCTTAGCAATGTTGTTTTATATATACAAGTATATGTAATCAGTTGTAAAATCAAGTTTTTCTGAACTTTGAAATATTAAGTTATCTTGTTTTTTAAAAGTTTTAAAACATTATTTAGATGTTATTTCCACACATAATCAGTTACTTTCTTCAGTGAACGAACAATAAATATTAACTCAAGAGAAATGAATGTCAAATATTAACTCAAGAGAAATGAATGTCAAAACTTCCTCAGCTTGTGATAGCACATTAGATATTCTTTTTATGATATTTTTAATTTAAATTTGAAACAAGCTTGTTTTACATGCCAGTCCCAGTTCCCTCACCCTCCCCTCTTCTCCTGTTCCCCTCAACCCCCATCCCATCCCCTTTCTGTTCACCAGGGAGGGATATTAGATATCCTGCTATTAGATACAGTCATAAATTTCCTCCAGATAGAGTAAGGTAAAACTAACCTGAATGATTTAAATTATTTTGATTATTTATAAGACAAGAGAACTATGTGCATATAGACAAAAATAAGATCTATATAATGCTATAACCTGAATTTGAACTCATGGGCAAATCATTTCACTGTTTTTTAAAGTTGAGATAATTATACCATCTCCTAAAATAAGAAATCATGTTTTTATAGTGCCTGATTCAGTGTCTAGCACACAGTATAATATAGTAAACTATTATTGAGATGATGACTAATGAAATCAAGTAGCTAAATTAAATACAGTTCACCCGAAGTGTCAATTTTTATATGGAATAATTTTTGAGCTCTGAATAAGGCTTGATTTTTGTTCCTTTGTAAAACATATTTGAGGAAAATATCAAGTAAATAATCAGTCCTAATAGTGTGATGACCAAAATACAGAATATGTGGTAAATATTGTGGAAATTCAGAAAAAAAGAAAATAACTGTTTTTACTGACCTACATGGGTTCATAGTGCATAATCAGCCTAATGGAGGATGAGTATGATTAGCAGGTAGAGCAAGCAAGACAATGGTATTCCGAATAGATAAAATAATGTACACACTTACACACACACACAGGTTGAAGTTGATAGGTTGAGACTAGAATATGGACTCACAATCTATCTGAACCTGGTTGAAGCAATTATGCCTAAAGCCAAAGACTATATTAATGGTAAAAAAAAAAAAAAAACCATGGGTGTGTGGGGGGGCATACTTTAGAACAGTAATCTCCAAATTCATGTCTGGCTGGCCCTGAAGATACTGTAGAGGTAGAAGTATGTTGTAGAGGGCTAATAACCCAGCACAGCAGTCTCTGTTTGCTGAATCTTATGGCATTTATAGTTCTGTGTTTCAGAGCTTGATAAAAGAGGCTCCTCATGTGTGACAGACTATTTCACTGTCAGTTGGATGAAGTAAAGATGGAATGATTGACAATGTTAGGTGCAATTCATCTAGACTTGTAGACATTTGATGTTTGGCTCATATATTAGCTTGGCTAACCTAAACCTACTTTAAAATTAGTATCTGAAGTTATGTGTAGGCTGTTTTAAAATTTAGCCATGGAGCTATGCTGAATATTTTCATATGCTATGCTTTATAACCTCTACACTTGAAGCTTTAGCATCTTCATGTTACATAATTTGAATACTTCATCATGTAGATGAAGATGGCACAGAGGAAAGATAATGCCAAAACATTAAATTCCTTTGTTTTTCTTTGTTTGCTGAACAGTTATCTGGTAATATACTGCAGATATTGGACTTGCTTTACATGTTCCCCAAGTGAATTCACAAGACATTGTCCAGTGAATCCAACAGATGTTTTCAAGTGACTATAAAGTGCCTTTATGAGCATAGAATTCTATTGTACTTGCATTGTGATTTTAAATTTGGGAGGCAAGCTACCTCATCAACAAATTGAGCTGCTTATCGCACTGGTTATATACAAGTGTATATTCGTCTTCAAGTCATGCCACCAGTGTAAATGCCAACATGAAAAATACTTGGTCTATACCCCCTGTATCCCATTAAGAAAGACAGATGTTGATAAATATAATATAGAATCATTGTGAAGATACTTCCTGAGCAAAAAAGATATTAGTTCGGGGCTAGAGAGATGGCATAAGTGTTAAGAGCACTGAATTCTCTTCAAGAGTAAGATTCCAGCATGATAGAAACTTTACAACCTATAACTCCAATTCCAGAGGATCTGATACCCATTTCTGACCTCTACAGGCATTGCTCACATTGGTACACAGAAATGCATGCAGGCAAAACACCCATATATATTGCATAAAATAAAAACAAAAACTTTAAGTTAAAAAATAACTAGTATAGTAGTACATCAATTAAAAAAAAGAACTTATCTGGAAAGAAGTAAATTCATGTCTTAAAGACAAGTATTATGGAACAAGGGGTGATTAGGGGAAAATGTTGGTTTGCTTGTTATTATGATATATGACAAGAAGAAAGGTCACTACATATTCTGTCATGTCATTTTTTTACTTAGTTCTGTGATTATCCAGTTGTCTCTTCCAAGGAAGATATTCTTGTCTAATTAGTAGCATTTTTTCTTTAATTTTATGTGCAATAGTTAGCATGTACAGGTCATTAACTTAACATCTTAGTGAAAGGAACTTACAGAGAACTATGGGTTCTTCTATTTACATAGTAAATATTTTCATATTTACATTGTCTTTGACTCTGAAGTTCCTATTCCTAATGTAAAGAAGATAGAAAAATTATCAAATTTCTTTTGTTTCTTTCAACCTATGCTGTTTTTGTCTCGTTTTAAAGCTAGTGCTTATGGGGAACAATTTTTGTAGCTGCTAACAAAAATCACGGATTTATTCAGTCATTTTCTAATACTATTGAGCATCATATATATTATTTATATGTACTCTTTCAGGCTATGATACTAAATGTACTCTTTCAAGCTATGACTATATCATTCTTAAAGTACAAATATTATCTGTAACAGTAAAAGCATAAAATATGAACAGTTTATTTCATAGCCCTTAGTTTGTATGCTGACAATGTATTTTTATTGGGAGTTATAAGGGAATTAATTATGATTGGTAATCATACTTATCAAGATAAGAATGGTTTTAATTTCTTCTTACATATACTTTTCATATAAGTATTTATGAAAAAAAATGATGTCTGGAGTTGCTAAGATTTTGTTTCTTTGAGCTGTAAATGCTTAACTTAGTCAATATAATCTGCTTTCAATTTTTTTCATTACAGCAAGCCTTTTAGAATTCAGTATTTACAAAGAAAAGTATTATAAATCAGAATACCTGCTGCATGGCACATTCAAATTAAAAACTTATTAAAATGAAATAGACATTGTAAAATTTTTTGGTATTAATGTTGTATTTTTAGTTAGGTGTTTGATGAGAATTTGCCACTAATGAGGATTTAGCCAACTTTATTTTCAAAAAGGTTGAATGTGCTCCTTCATTTCTTTCATACATATTATTTTATATGTACATAATTAAAAGAGACATGTGGGTTTAATTCTAATTCATTAAGACTAGACTATTTATATTGAATTCTTTCTAAATCATGACTGGTTCCTAGTGCACATTTTAGTGGCCAAGTATATGAATGTATAGGTAATAAATAGAACAAAGAATGCAGTATATCTCATACACAAGTTTTTGTGTTCTTGAAGAAATCCTTTCAATAACATCTATCTTGGTTAGGATTTTTATTGCTGTGATGAAACCCTGTAACCTAAGGTAACTTGGGGAGGAAAGGGTTGTTGTTTGGTTTTGCTATTCTTTCATATGACAGTTCATCACTACGGTAGTCAGGGAAGAAACTCAAGCAGGAGCAGAAACCTGTGAACAGGAGCAGATACAGAGGCATTTAAGGAGTTCTGCTTACAGGCTTGTTCTTTGTGGCCTGCTCAGCCTATTTTCTTTTACTTTTTCTTTCTTTCCCTTCCTCCCTCCCTTCCTTCCATTTGTTTTTCACAGGGTTTATTTGTGTTAACTCCCCTGGCTGTCCAAGAATTTGCTTTGTATACCAGGCTGGTTTTGAACTCACAGAGATCTGCCTGTCTCTACCTCCTAAGATTAAAGGTGTGTATTTCTACTGCTTGACCACCGCCTATTATCTTATGACACCCAGGACCACCAGTGCAGGCTTTCATGTGGACAGCCAGAGTTTATGAAGTCATTTTCTCATTTGAAGTTCCCTGTTCTCAAATGACTAGTTTGTTTCAAGTTGACATAAAAATTAGCTAGCACAACTTTATTATAATTGTTTTCCTTAATATCCCCAAACAGGCATTTGACTGTGGGCTCCACTAAGCCAGAAAGCTCTTATTCATTTGTAATTCTAACATTGTCCCACCATTACCTCTGTAAATTCTTTTTTATCAGTACTTTTTTAATAAAGAAAATATTGACATTAAGTATATTTTTCTCTGTTTTATTCTTCAGAATTATGGCTTAGAAACAGAAAATCTAAAAACTCTTTCTCACAAATTGAATGCATCAGCCAAAAATCTACAGAACTTCATAACAGGAAGGAGAAGGAGTGGCCATTATGATGGAAGAACCAGCAGAAAATTGCCCAATGACTTTCTGACCTCAGTTGTGGATCTGATTGGAGCAGCCAAGAGTCTCCTTGCTTGGTTGGACAGGTACACTCTGCTCCATATTTCATAAGTAACTCCTCTTCATACATCAGTTTGTACCAGAGCATTATTTCATATTTTCTTATGAAAACATTAGACAGATAGAGGAGTAAAAATAATAAATATTTGGTTATGATTCATAGTAGTTTTATGTCATTATCATGTAGATATGAATCTTTTGTAAAATTTTCTATCAAAATAGACAATTACTACTTTATGTCTGTCAAGCACAAAATCCCTTTGCTATTTTATAATCAAAATTACTGTTTGTCTGTTATAACAAAATGTAGAGTCTGTCCTGGATTTCTGCATTCCTTTTGGTAATGACCATATTGAATGAGCAATGAGTACATAGTTACTACTACTTTTTTAGTGTGCACTGATTGTCTCCTTGCCCTGGTTTTGTATCTTGGAATGTATATCATAGTATAAAATTTATAATCTGAAATAGAAAAGATTAAATTTTTATATTTGGTTGGATATTGTCATTAACTTGGATTGCAATTAAAAATAGACTAATTGAGCTCTCTATTTTCATAGTTCATGGTATTAGCGTGTTGTGGTTGAATAACCTCAGAAGAAATTCTGATAATTTATCTTTGCCAAAATTCCTCCAACAAGGAATATCAGTAAGATTCAAATTGACTTTTTGTAGGTCTCTGGAAATTTCTCTAGAGTCAGTTTTCTCTTCAAACCTATAATGGTTCCCTCTTTTATGGTCTCTCTCTCTCTGTTTCTCTCTGTCTCTCTCTGTCTCTCTGCCTCTCTCTCTCTCTTTCTCTCTCTCTCTCTAGTCTATTCCTCCCCTGACACAATCTTCCTAGCCCCACATGCTTTCCTCTTCTCGCCTTCTCTTTCTCCTAGCTCCCTCTCCAATCACTGCACCCTCCACTCCCAATATGCTCAGGAAATCCTGTTCCTTTCCCCTTCTGTGAGGGACCTTGTATGAATCTCTTAGGTTTCTCCTTGTATCCTAGCTTTTCTGGAGGTGTGAATTGTAGGCTGGTGATCCTTTGCTCTATGTCTAAAATCCATATATGAGTGAGTACATACTATGTTCCTCTTTTTGTTACTGAGTTACATCTTTCAGGATGATTTCTTCAAATTTATTTTTTTTAAAAAAATGAGACCTTATTTCTAAAATAAAGGTTTCATACATTATTTATTTATTTATTTACTTATTGTTTTTTGAGACAAGGCCTCACTATACAACATTGGCTCTCCCATGTAGACCAGGCAGGCATGGAAAATGCAGCTCTCTGGTGGTGGCAGTGGGTTCAGGCTGGCAGGAAAAACCTTACTCTTAACAGAGATCCATCTGCCTCAGTCTCTAAAGTGCCACAATGCCCAGCTAGGTTTTGTACTCTTAAAGTAGAAGTTGATTTTACTTAGTTTTTTATCATCTAAATTATATCAATGATATTAAATCCTGATTTGGATACTAAGCTATATATTACCAGATTTTGAAAAAAATAAAGAAAATGTATTTTCAACATAACATAACATGTAATTTTAGTTATAGCTATATAAACTACACTGATCAGTTGTTTAAAGTAAATGTATTTCTAAAATATTTGATAATTTCATATATTAGAATTATACTTACATCATTTCTACTCCACACTCTCCTCCCTCTAATTCTTGCCATGCCCCTCTCAACTTCATGACTTCTTTATTCTTGTTAGATGTATAAACATGTGCATGCATACACAGACACACACATACAAACAAATATAACCTGTTGAGTCCATTTAATGTTGCTCAAATATATACATGTTTAGAGATGACCACTTGGGATTGGACAATTTATGAGGTCTTATTTTTAAAATATAGACTGTAAATAGGATGACAATAAATATTGCTGAGCATTTATCTGTGGCTATTGAATGCTTTGGGCATTTTGTCAAGGATTGGTATAGTTAGTTGGTCATGTGGTAGATTTAGTTTTAGTTCTAACTTCTAGTCTGGCTGCACCAGTTTGTATTTCCATCAACAGTGGATGATGTGAGTTGTTTTGTTGGTCTTTGCCATTCCTTTTTTTTTTTCAGCACCCATGTGGAGTTTATTGAGAGAAGGGAGACAAAGAGGGGGTAGCTGGTGGCCAACCCGAAAGCAGGAGAGAGAGAGAGAGAGAGCAGGAGAGGGGCAAGAGAGAAACCAGAGAGAGGAACCAGAGAGAGAGAGAGAGAGAGAGAGAGAGAGAGAGAGAGAGAGAGAGAGGTGTGAGGCGCTTGCTTTAAAAGAGGCTTGCACGTGCATAACTGAGTCCTCTGGCCGCCAGGTAAAACTGACATAGGGATGACATGGCCATGAGCGTCCTGCCCATCGTCGGGGCGGGGGTCAGCCGGCTGCTAGTTCCTAACACCTATACTCCCCAAAATTGAAAAATTTAAAAGAAATGAACAAATTTTCTGTATAGTTTCTATATACCAAATTTAAATCAAGACCAGATAAACATTTTAAATAGACCTATAACCCCTAATGAAAGAGAAACAGTTATCAAAAATTTTACAACCAAAAAAAAAAAAGTCCAGAACCAGATGGCTTCAGGGCAGAATTTCAAAGAAGAACTAACTCCAATACTCCTCAAAATGTTCCACACAATAGAAACTGAAGAAACACTGCCAAACTCCTTTATCAAGCTGCAGTTACCCTGATAGCCAAACCAAGCAAATATGCAACAAAGATAAAGAAATACAGAGCATTCTCCCTCATAAATACTGAAAAATAAAATCAATAATAGTTTGCAAACCTAATCTGAGTACACATCCAAAAAAAAAAAATCATTCACCATTACCAAGTATGCTTCATTTCAGAGAAACAGGGATGGATCAACATAGGAAAATCAGTCAATGTAGTCCACCATATAAACAAACTGAAAGAAAAAAAAAAAAACAACATGATCATCTCATTAGATGCTGAAAAAGCCTTTGACAAAATCTAATACCCCTTTATGATAAAGGTATTGGAGAAATCAGTGATACAAGGCACATGTTTAAACATAAAAAAGCAATATCCAGCAAGCTGACAGCCAAAATTAACAGAGAGAAACTCAAAGAGATTCCACTAGGTCTTTGCCATTCTGACTTGGGTGAGATGAAACCTCAAACTTGATTTAATTTGAAATTCCCAGTTGCTGAAAGTATTTCTTAGATATACACCCCCCCCTTTTTTTTAAAATTGCCCTTTATTCTTTTTCTTTACTTGACAGAGGCTTTCTGGTTTTATTTTTCATTTATTTATTTTTTTATTTCACATGTCCATCCCAGTTCCCCCTCCCTCCCTTCTTCCCTCCCTATTAATCCACTGTCAGATGTGTGGCTGGCAAAGATTATCTCCCATTATTTGGGCTTCCTCTTCACCCTGTTTATAGTTTCTTTAGCTGTGAAGTAGCGTTTTAGCCAATCGTTGTCCTTAATTCTTGGGCAAATAAAGTCCTAGTCAGAAAGTCTTTTCCTACACCTGTATCATTTTTTGTATAAGGTGATAGATACGAGTCTAATTTCATTCTTTCCCATGCAGATACCCAGTTTTCCCAGTGAATGTTTTTGGCATTTTTGTGAAATATTAAGTTGCTGATGTTATGTATAATCATGTTTGAGCCTTCCCTTTTGTTCTATTTTTCTATGTGCCTTTTGTTGCTGATACCATATTTTATTTTATATATTTATTTATATATTTATATTTATTTATTTATTTTTATTTATTATATATTAAATATATATTTATTTATATTATATTTATATTTACATATTATATAAATATAATATTTATATTATTTTACTGATTTATTTTAATTTTTGTGGTTATAATATTACAACAATATTTCTCCCTTCCCTCAATTTTTCCATACACCCCTCCTCTCCTTGCTCTCTTTAAAATTCATGGCCTTTTTAAAAAATTAGCAGTTATTACATTCGTATCTGTATATGTACATACATATGTAATCTAAATACAATATGCTCTGACTGTGTAATGATACTTATATATACGTTTTTTCAAGACTGACAATTTTGTATGAACAACAATAAGTTGGTGTGCTTTTCATCAGGGGAAAGAGTTTCTCCCACTTTCAGCCTTTCATAGGTGCCTATAGTTTGTTGTGTAGAGTTGGAGCCTTGTGGGATTTTCCTTATTCACTTTGGCATGTCTATTGGTGTAGTTCAGCTCATGCTTAAGCAATCATGTTTGTGAGAGTTTGTGGGTGCAGCTCCTGACATTACTAGTATACACAACCTGAAGTATGGAATAGGCAACCCCTTCCTTATTCTTTTTGCACAGAATTGCTTTAGATATTTAGTGTCATTTCTAGTTCCATATATATTTTTAGGTTGATTTTTTTTCTATTTCTGTCAAGGATGTTGTGGCTATTTTGATATTTAATCTAATCTGTATATTGCTTTTTGTAGTGTGGTCATTTGCACAATATTAATTTTACTGATTTATGAATGTGGGCTTCTTTTAGTTTTCTAGCGTCTTTCCCAAGTTCTTTCTTCAGATTTGAATTTTTCACTGTAGAGGTCTTCCACCTCCTCTTAACTCCCTTTTTGGTTTTATATTTTTGATGACATTGAGAATGAGAGTATGCCCATGGTTTTTCTCAGTGTGCTTGTTGTTGATATCTAAAAAGGATACAGATTTTGCTAAGTTGATTTTTGTACCCTGCCATTTTGCTAAATATTGTTTCTAGCATTTTCATGTAGAATCATGATATCTCATGTATATCTTATCTACAACTGGAAACCATTTGACTTCTTCTTTTCCTGTTAATTTCTCTTACTTGTGTAAGGACTATGTCACTACATACTTGCTTAGTTGTTTCAGCTTGTGTGTCTAGCACTGTATTGAAAAGGAGTAGGGTAGTGGACAGCCTTATTTTGTTCCTGATTTTAATATGATTGTTACTTTTTCTCCAGTTAGGATAATGCTGGTTGTGGGGTAATCATATAGATTTCAATTGAAAACATATTTTAAATTGCGCCATTAAAAAGAAAGCAGGGTGAGCAAGCCATGGGAATTGAGCTAGTGTAAGCATCATTCCTCTGTTGCCTCTTCTTCCATTACCTCCACATTCACATCCTGAGTTCCTGCCCTTTCTTCCCTTCATGAAGGAATGCTACTCTAAGCTTAAATAACCTCCATATATACAAATATAGTAAATGTTACCTCTTTTCAGTAAGATATGGCTTAACTGTTAATGCTTAAATAAAAACATTAGTTTTAGTTTTAGATTTTGTCAGTATTATTTGCCCTTTAACTACATTTGTTCATCCCAACATAAAATGATTTAAGCAAATTACATTATATTTTCTTTTCACTATACTGTTGCATAGAATGATCAGAGAATGCCTTTGTTTCCTAATGGTGGGCATGAATATACATATTCTAATTTCAATATATAGTAGTTTTTAGATTCTGTTGTATTATGTATTATTGCATTTTATCGTCATTACAATTCTTGATAAACATAAATTCACCTCCAAGTACAAATACCCACAGAAATCCATGACATCATCCAATGACTGTTTTATGCTTACTTCATAGGGAGTGACAATATGACAAAAAAGCCTAAAGAAAAATAGGTTAGTGTGCATTATATGCTATGTCTATAGCAGCATTCCATTAGCTTACAAGCTATTTGATATTTTGACCATAAAAATTAAATAAGTAATTAAAAGCAACACAAAAAGATAAATTCTGATAACTTTTAAGTTCTACAGGAACTTTTATAAATTGAAAAAAAAAAGAAATGAATGCTTTTTTATTTTTAATTACAGAAAAATCCAACTATAGACCGGCTTGATTATTAACATTGCTTTAACAGCTTGACTTAAGAGAAACAAAAAAATAATGAACTTGGTGGCACATACATTTAATCCCAGCATTGAGGAGGCACATTGATCTCTGTCAGTTCCAGATCAGCCAGGTCAGCTAGTCAAAGTTACCCACTGAGACCTTGTCTCAAAAAAAAATGTTAAGAAATAAATTAAATAAAACCAAATGATAAGGAAAAAAAAGAAAATCTTGGCCTTACTAATACTAATGCTTTTTTTTAGATCTGTGGATTTTGAAATCTTTGAAGATTTCTTGTTGTAGAATATTGGAGAAAACTATTGGTAGGAAAAGGAATACTACTTTGGAACCTTTTTCAGGTTTTAATAACTGTTACTACTGATAGTGCTTCTTATGCTAACCACAATGGTGACTCTCTTTGGCATGAACAATTTTCAGAATATTTATTTAGTCAAAAGTACTGTCCTTATTATACAAGTAAGCAAACTAGGATTTAGAGTGATTCAATTAAACACAAATGACGAGTAAATGGGGCTAGAACATGCTAGATCCTGACAATCTGACTATATAGTTTATCTTCTCCACTGTTACAAGATTTTAATTAGTGAAACAATAATAAGAATCAAGAATGTTCAAGGTGTTTGTGTAGATAGATAAGGCCTAGGGCCAAATTAAAACTGGAGAGTCAGAGAATGGGGATATTTGGAATGAATAGTCCATGCCTGACTTGGCTGACCCAATGAATAATCGAAATTGTCAAACACATTATCCAATAGATGTAAGGAATATATTAGAATATATTCTGATTTCCCTACTTGATTTTTTTCAAAAATCTTAGACCTTCCTAACATACTATATGACTGTACTTATAAACTACATCTATTGTTCTTATTAACTGTTCTTTCTATAATATGTCGTTCAAGATAGCAGATATTTTTCTTATACTTTGCTCATTGATATAGTAGTTATCCAGAAAAAGTCTTCACCTGTACTGTACATTTTTTTTGAGGGAATAGAGAAATACAGGATAAGAAATGAGCACTGTGGACCACCAGCAATTGAAATTTTTTTAGCTCAAGATGGGCATGGTGGCACATGTCTTTAATCCTAGCACTTCAGAGACAGAGGCGAGAACTGAGTTCAAGGCCAGTCTGGTCTATAGAGGGAGTCCTGGGACAGCTATAGCAATGCAGAGTAACCCCATACCCAAAAAAGATGAGAAGTTTAGCTCATGAAAACAGTTATTGAAGTTTAATCAGAATAAAAATGAATTTGTGAAAGTAGTGTCATAGGAACAAAAGAAAAAAAGAATTTGAAGGAAAACACAGTTAATCAATAGGGTCAGATGTTGCTAAGAGATTAGGTAGGATAAAGTAGCTGGTGGATTAGGAAATCAGAGTATTTGTGAAATATTTGGTTGAACATAATGTGAAAAAAGCTTCAGAAAAGTTTTCTATTTAAACTTTTCCTGTGAATCAATTTTTAATCTTCAGTGGTCATGGAAAAAGTATCTTAAGACAAAATGCTATATCTTAGTACATTGGGGAACTTGGACTTTGTTCCCTCCTTTGTCTTGGGTTGTAAGAGTATCTAATCAGTATTGCTCCTTGGACCATAGAAATTTTAGAATGTATGGATACCAATTTAAATGTAATAGAATGTTATCTACAGTGTGTTAGATGAAAAATATTTGTTTGTTTTCCTGATAAGCAGTATAAACTTCTGTTAGATATTGTTAGTGGGTATGTGTTTATTATATATTTAATTTTCCATCCAATAATATATTTTACATAGCAGGAATTCATTCCAACATTCCACAAACCCCCTTTTATTGGTATATCCTGAAATCTTGAAAAATATTTTTGAACCTTTATTTTTATTTTATGTGTATGAGTGTTATACTTATATGCATGTTTGCACATCCTGCACACGTAGTGCCCATAGAAGCCAGAAAAAGTATTAGATCTTCTGGAACTGGAGTTGTAAGCCATCACGTTAGGTTTTGGGAATTGAACCAGGTCCTCTGGGAGAGCAGTAAGTACTCTTAACAGCTGAAACCATCTCTCCACTCTCCATGTCCAAGTATACACATATAACAAAGCATAATCATTAAATGCTAGAAAAGTGAAAGGAGTAGTATCAATGACCATTGTTGTGAATCTCTAAAGTGCACTGTAATGTATATGCTTTGCACTGTAATGTATATGCTTTTGTTTTCTTTTCATTAACTACAATTTAATTTTAAGTATAAAATTCCCTTATGAATGATGCTGAGCAAATGTTAAGATTTTGATTTTTTGATAAGTATTTGATTTGTAAGGTTTAGCTACTACAATTAAATATTGCAAAGCATTTTGTCTTATTTAAAGTTCTTTATAAATGTCAGCTTAGATGAAATGGAACAATTCCATGAATATATTGTTTTTAAAAGAGATTGAAGTAATGATAAACCTTAGGTAAATTTAATAAGATAGTGTTTAACTGCATATTGCATATGACTGGATTCAGACTTCTGTTCTGAACACTAGCTCCCACACACTAGTTCTCACACCTCACTCTTTTGTTGCTTCAGCAAGTTACTAAATGTTTATTTACCTTTGGTGTTGTCTTTTGTAAAATGAAAATAATAAAGAAATGCCAGTTTCATAACATTTATTGTGAATATTAAGTTAGTATGTATGTCACAATCAGAATAGTAATTTACTTATAGTAAGCCATCAGTAACCATTAGTTTATTAGTATTGCTTGCTAGCCTTTAATTGTATTTCAAGTAAATGTCATATTAAAATGTTAGGTTTCTTTGGAAAGTAAGTATTAAAATATAGTTTTTGATTAGGCTTTTCTTGTCTGCTGTTTTGTATTAGATATTGTGAAGGAGCCTTGAAAACAGCATCAAAGAACTAAAGATTTTATAGAAAGAAAATTACATATTTCTAAATTTTAATTCTTAATTTCACTCATTTTAATCTAATTGAGTCCCAAATATTGTGTTTTATCACTATGTACGCTTTAAAACAATTCATTTCTTTATTTTAATCAAAATCTTATGTTATACTATTTCATTTTGATGATTTTCAAAAGCTGTTAATAATCATAGTCTTTGTTTTCTCTTTGTAGGTCACCATTTGCTGCTGTGACAGACTATTCAGTCACAAGAAATAACGTCATACAGCTCTGCTTGGAACTAACAACAATTGTGCAACAGGTATTGGCTAACAGTGTTCCCTTTGGTTAAATTACTAGCTGATTTATATTTGAAAAATGAGCAAATGATCCATAAAAAGAAAATTATATACTGGAAAAGTGTGCATGAATCATAAGTTTTGTTTATCAGAAGATATAAAATAAATTGGAATACCTACCTTCATTTTTATAGGATCGTAAAATACTGTGTGTCCCTTTGTATTATTTTTTTAAAATCTCAACTAGAAAACAGAATCATAGTATTGTGAGAGTGCAGATTAATAAATGTTTTTTCCATAAAGAGACATGATTTCCATCATATTCTGACCATCCAGATACTGAATATTTTTGTAGGCTACATTGTATCTATCACAAATGTGTCTCTTATTTTAAGGCAAACATAGTAGGCAGGTTTAAATTGATGAGTGTTGTTTAGGATTCATTAAATTTTGATTCGAAAAATAGGCCAAATTTCAGTCATAGTTATTGGCCTATGTTTCAGAGTCATGGAGTCCAGTGTGACAAACTGCTGTTTGATATCATGAACAGATGTTAGAAATTAAAGTTTTTGGGACACGCTTCAAATGTATTATAGATACGACCCAAAATCTTGCATCTTTGCACATTTTTCTAGGTGTTTTTGGTGATGTGCATTGCCCTAGGGTATAGAGGAAATCACAATGACATAACTTTATAGCTAATATTTCCTGTTGTTATGGCCTATCATAAACATTTTATTTGTTGGAAATCTTTTTTTATACAATATATTGTGATCGTGTTTCCCCTCCTCTTACTCCTTCCAGATCCCCTCACCTCTAAACCCATCCAATTTCAGCCCCTTTCTCTTTAGAATACAAACAGGCAACCAATAAAAACAAATCTTAATTCACAGTAACAAAAAAGATATCAGAAACATTTCTTAAAACTGTATTTTCTAGAATGGTGCTCTACCTCTAGGCCTTTGTTTTCTAACACATTCTCTGTGCACAAAGTAATAAAATACATAATTATTAACACTTTACTGTTACATGGCAAAAATCCATGGTAACTATATTACTCATTTAATCTTTTTTACTTCTACATGAGACGAAAGACAACTAGAATATTGAAAAATTAACATGAAATCCATTGTTTTTATTTTTAATTTTTGCACTAGAATTCACACTTATTGCTAATTTATTATCAAATTTGAAAATATTTTCAGGTATATTTTTGAAATAAAAGTTGCTGTATATTGAGTAGTGGGCTAACACTTCGTTGTTTTTATAAAATAAGATGGCAATTCAAAATGACAGCTATGAATTTGCTTAAAATCCGTAGAGATCATCAAGTAGTCATTGCTTAACTCACACATAATCAATGTTTTTTTTATTTGAAAAGGCAATACACAAAGGAATTTTGAACAGAAGATACATAAAGGGAAATAAAAATAGTTTTCTGTGTTTAGAATTCACAAATTACACAATTTACCTTTATTCTTAACCTTCAGCGATTATTTTGAGAAGAATGTGGAAATAATTTCTAGTGAATTTACATTTTTCTGCAGAGAAATACATTGGGAAAATGCAGTACATGTCAGATGTGGCTAGCCCAGACATTCTGTGATTTTTAAGAGCCTGCTATGTAACTAGTACTTAGTTGATTTTTTTTTGCTTTTCACCAGATTGCATAAATATCTGCTATTGACAGTTACTTTATATAAAACATACTCCATTATCTTATTGCCCTCAAAGACTTTATGGTATTCTCAATAGGCTTTTCAAATAGCTCTGTTCTTTAGCTGAACATTCCCCTCAAGTATCTTATTATAAGGCAATAATGAGTTTGAAGTTTTGCAATTTAGAGGTTAGAAAACTTTAAGTAGACTAGAGAAGAGATTGTTTTACAGGTTGAACTTTAAGTACATACTGTCTTGTCCAAACATAAAATTACTAAAATACTCTAAATGTACTTAGAACACAGAAGGACTTTGTACCCTCCACCCACTATATACTCTGTTTAAAAGATATGGCAGGTCCTCTTATGGCATTTTGATCATACATTACCAGCTTCTGTATTTTAAAATTCGGTAGCTCATGACATTTGTCAAAACTTCCTCATGCTCATTTTCCCATCACATGTCCTGTTTGACATGTCATCTTTACTTTAGGACAAAAATCTTATGTTCTTGGTTTGTTTTCCTTGATTTTCCACATTCCTTATACCTAGTTCTGTTGTTCCTTAAAAGAGACATTAAGTGTAAATTTCTCTTAATAATAATGTGATGACATCCTGTTTTAATCTGTCTATAAGTATAGACTGGATCATCTTTGAATTAGTCATCACACATCTAAGCCCATTTTGTTATTTAAAAATGAATTGCTGACACTTTTCTATGGGACTCAAAGGAGCTAAGATGCTATTCTTGCATGACTTAAGTTTTATCTTCAAGAACTCCCAAGTGTATTAACTGTACTCTAAATCATACAGATAAATTATTGTTAGTAAAACAGACCTTAGTTTAGCTATTTGTCTTATGATTCTTCTGTACAATATGCCCTGTATATCTTTCATCTCTGCCTTATTAAAATTATGCCCTGTCCTTTAAGGATTCTGAGAAATGATACTTCATTCATGCAAATTTTCTGATTTCCCACAGGTGTTTGTCTTTTCTCGATATTGAATCTTTATTGTAATGTTGTTCCTGCTATGATTGAAAATAAGTGTAAAACCTTGCTGTTGGTCTTTTACTTTCCCATACATTCATTGTTTACCTTTTTTTCCTGTAAAAGATTAGACTAGTCACTTGTATTATTCTCTTTTATCTTCTGTTTTGACGCATAATTCATTATTGTGTGAGAAGCGGTAGAATTCTTCATTGTTCTGTGCATAGCATTTTACTACCCTTTGGGGCAGTTATATCCTTTGAATAACAATTATCTTACTTTCATCAGATGATAAACTCCCTGAAGACAGTGTCTTTCTTACTTCATATATACTATTAATTTAAAAAAAAAATTGATGGAACAGAATTATTCTCTGTGGCTGGCAGAAGTTCATTTGTCTTTTGCAAAAAGAAAGAGAGAAAAAGAGAAAAACTAATAATTACTCTTTTTATTCTGTTACTCATATTAATAATAAAATCCTAGTGGCACCCGTCACTTTAAATCTGTCTTCAGGGCTTGGTAACATAGCTCAGTGATAGAGCACTTGTATATATATGGCACTACTTCAACCCTCAATTCTATAAAAGGGAAAAATATGTAATAAGTGATTGTTTATAACCCAAATATTTTCTTAAATACCGTATAGATATATAATGCTAACAAACTGTATCTTTTAGGAAACTTTATATTAGTAGACAAAAATTATCTGAATTACTACACTTTTTCTGCTTTAAACAATACAGTCTACTCTATGGGCAGACTTTAATTTTCGATATTTTCCAAATTTCCAAAAGGAAATTTAAGGTATCAGAAAAGAAGGAATATTTTCCACACTGATGGAATGTTAGTTTACGTTTGTCAAAATAACCTATCATAAACAAATCCTAAAGTTATATTTTAAAATAAATTACATATAGTTAAACCCAACAAATTGTATCATCCAGCATGTATGTGTGTGTATATATGTGTATATCTATATATATGTATGTATGTATGTATGTATATATATGTATATATATATTCAACCAAATGTTTATTTGCAATCATATGAAGTACCTAAATATAGTAATTCAACTTCAGCTGACTCTTAAGAGGACAATTTGAATAAGTAAGATATAGACTTTAAAAATTATCTAGGGCATGCATTTATTACCGAGCTTTCAAGAACTCTCATCTGAGTAGTTTTATGCTTTGAAATATTCTGTGTTTAAAATGATTTTTCACTCCACTTTAATTATTTTTATTCCCTTTGCAGCAAGATGAGATAATCAATATCTAAAAATAAACTGTCATAAATAGCTTTTCTCCTTTAACACAAAGGGGTAGTACAGTGAAGTAAGTGGAAAATTCTTATTGATGTTGGACACTTATATTTTGAATAATGTTAAAATTTCGAAAATCACTATAAATTTCTGTTGCAAATCTCCATTTGGAGGCATTTTCTTAGTCCAATTTAATCTATATCATTTTTACTTATTCTGTGTTTGAACAGGTTCAGATTTTTGAAGCTTTTAAGATATTTTCCCTTAACACTTTTGTTCACTTCATAAAATTCGTTATAAAAACAGAAAAAAAATTGGGGAAATTTGTTTTTAAAATCTTAACTGGAAAGAATTCTCACAAAGAACCGAACCTTCTTTTAGAGCCCTGTCAGCAACTGAATCAGAAAAATGAGACAGTTTCCCACGCATTTCTTGTCAGCATTGAAATAATTGCATGATGCCTGTCTTCTTGGGTTTTAGCCTAACCTAAAATAATTCTACTGTACCATTTTAATATGCTGTACTTCATCTACTGAGATTGTCACTAATTAAGAAGTGAGCACTAAAGTGTCAGTTTGAAAGGTAAAGCCTTGATAAGATTGAGACTATGTGGGACAAGGAATAAGGATGAAAGAAGTTTGTTTGGGGATATGTAAGCTAGCTCTGCTGAAGATCAGTCCACACTGGAAAATTCATGTCCTGGCTTTTACAATTTGTATACATAAGTGATCACATCTAGCTCAAAGTTATTGGAAGTACCAACAAAAATGAGACATAAAATTACCAAGAGAAGTCAAGTGAAAAACAAGAGGAATGTAACAAGTGATTTGATAAGAGTGGGGTAAAATATTTTTATTTAAAAACAAAATATACAAACATTTTTCTCTCATTAGTGTCTTTTAGTTTTCTAGGCTAAAATTTACACTTAACTTTGAATTGTATGATGAGAGAATAGTTTCAAATGTTGTAAAACATTTTGAAATCAGATTTTCAATTGTTAGTTTCGGTATGAAAACTTTCTCTTAAAATTCAATTTCTGGCAAAATGCTTTACGTGAAAATGTTTTTGGTTTTTTTTTTTTTCTGAGCTTTTTTTTTCTTTGTTCTGTTTCTACC